TACTGTTATCTCGTGCCCTGTAGAGTATTTGCTTAGTGAATAGCGAAGGAGTAAAAATATAACTACCTCTCCCAGGTTCTATGTTTGGTATACACCATCTGATAATTATTCTGGGAAAGGCTCTCCTTTGCCATTGCTGTACATGGATCCCTTATCCTCCTGCAGGATTGCCCTCCCATTGACGTCAGAGGAGAAATATGTGCATGGGGGAAAGGGCAAAATGTAAGAGTGAGGAGCAGGAAGAACTTTGCCCGAATGCAGAAGGTACTGCTGGGTGTCAGCAAATATTCATGCCTGTGCTCCAGCCTTTCTGGCCTGCAGTCAGGCGGAGGAGGCTATCAGTTGTTGTGCGTGGCTGGAATGGGGCAAGCCTTTGTTTGGTGTTGGAGGAGGGGGTTATTTTTAATTTGTCCCTCACAGGTGTCTGAGTTTTTGCCTTTGTTCTAGCTGCAAAGCAGTGCTGCCTCCTGGAGCAAAGAGAAGAGCTGATCCATCTCTTCCATGTGCCTAGGTTTGAGTTTCTCAGATGCAAAAGCCAGGTTCTGGTAACTCTCAAACTGGGAACTTTAGATTAAAAAGCAACTGCTCAGATTATGCTCGGATCAAGGAGGTATGCCAGCTGAAACAGCACTACATAGGCTGAAAGGGATTGTCAGCTAGCTTAATCCATCTGCTTAACTAAGTAGAATAGAAGCAGATGTCTCTGGTACCTTTAGCATAGTTTGCCTTGACTTCTGTTCATTACTGTTGTGTGGCCCCCAGACCAAATCTGGCCATAGCACGTCACACAGAGGTGATACCATCAGTATGTGGGGAACAAGACAGGGCCTCGCATCACTAATTCTCACTAGTCTCTGGATTTCAGGCTCCCTTCTTGCAGTGAGATGGTGTATACATAGTGGGACGGAGCTGTCCTGTGTCTTGGCACGGAGCAGCTTAGTCCATGGAGCACTCCTGAAATGTCCCTCTAGTTCCTGGGAAGAAGGACTGACTTGGTAAAACTTCTTTTCCCAGCATCATTTGAGACACGGGTCCCTGGCTGAAGCTCAAAGCCGGCCATTGTAGCAGTAACTCAGCTGCCACCATCTCTCAGCTGATGGCCTCATCCTTCAAACATTCAAACGTTATGTCATGGTGACTCAAATTGGCCTTACAGAAGTATTAAACTTCTCCTTATGAAATCTGTAGTGAGCACAGTGCTGTTGCAAAAAAAAAAAAAAAAAAAAAAAAAAATCTTATTTACCACCTTGAAAATAAACATGCTGGTCCTGCCCCATTGGAGGGAAAGGCAGGTCCTGCTGGGTCCTGCTAGCAGGTGCAGATGTCTCCAGCTTAGTCTTCTGAGTCCAGAGCAGGGCCACAAAGATGCTCAGGGGGCTGGAGCACCTCCCCTGTGGGGACAGGCTGAGAGAGTTGGGGTTGTTCAGCCTGGAGAAGAGAAGGCTCCGGGGAGACCTTACAGCAGCCTTCCAGTGCTGAAAGGGGGCTACAGGAAAGGTGGGGGGGGGACTCTTCATCAGGGAGGGTAGTGATGGGATGAGGGGTAA